AACAGTTATATTTAACCACATGCTAAGCTTATCATACTTTCCAAAAATATGGAAATTTGCTGAAGTCATTATGATCCTCAAGCTAGGAAAAGAGCCCAATGGAGTAACATCTTATCGACCTATCAGCCTGCTCCCAACCGTAAGCAAAGTTTTTGAAAGATTGCTACTTCAAAAAATATACGCAGATCATGAATTCCTTACATTACTTCCAAAACATCAGTTTGGTTTTCGGGAAAATCACTCCACTACCCAACAAGTTCATCGAATGATAAATGAAATATCAAAAAGTCTTGAAGAAAAGAAATACTGCAACGCTGTATTTCTAGACATCTCACAAGCATTTGACAAAGTCTGGCACAGAGGTCTGCTTTACAAAGTAAAAATAGCACTATCCAGTAACTATTTCCTCCTTCTTAAATCCTACATATCAAATAGATATTTCTCTGTAAAATTCAAAGACCAACAATCCAACCTCTGTCCTTTCAACTCCGGAGTCCCGCAGGGTAGTATTCTAGGGCCGCTGCTTTTCTCACTCTACACAGCCGATATACCAGAGACCAATAATACTACAATCGCTTCTTTTGCCGACGACGTAGCAATACTAGCCGTAAATGAAGATCCCATACAAGCCTCACAAAACCTACAACATCATCTGAACATACTCAGTGATTGGTATACAAAATGGAGAACAAAAGTAAATAAAACAAAATCAACTCAAATAACATTTACCAACCGTCACAACATATGCCCACCTGTAAGGATGGAAAATATAAGAATACCAACAGTAACAGACGCTAAATACCTTGGCCTCCATCTTGACCAACGACTCACTTGGAAGAAACATATCCAGACCAAAAGAAGGCAGCTAGACTTAAAATTCCGACAAATGTATTGGCTTCTTGGACGTAAATCAAAACTTAACATCCAAAACAAAATTCTTCTATACAAAGCAGTACTCAAACCTATCTGGTTCTACGGACTACACCTATGGGGCTGTGCAAAACCAACGTCGCTGAATATTATCCAAAGATTCCAGTCTAAAGTACTAAGATCTATAGTGGATGCGCCATGGTACGTAAGTAACCAAACACTCCATAATGACTTAAAGGTTCCTTTCATCAGAGAAGAAATTCATCGAGCCACGGAGTCACAAAATGAACGTACCATTCACCACAAAAATGAGCTAGTAAGGGAACTATACAACAATGGACCAGCCACAAGAAGATTACATAGAACCTGGCCTCAAGACCTTCTTCAGAACTAAACCAAAGTAGAATAAGGTGAGACATCATTGGATGTCTCTCCTTCACGCGCAAAACCTGTAATCACATTTACTTAATACTCTTTTTTTGATGTAGATTGTAAATAAACATAATTATAATAATAAAAAAAAATTATTAACTATATTTTTAGTTCTTGATCCTACTAGACCGAATTAAGTTTATTAAAAAAAGGAGATTATAGCGGAATCATAAACACTTTTAATGTATCGGTTATCAGAAATAGTTTTTATTATAATCTAGATATAGGTTTATATACCGACACTTGAGATAATGGTAAATAAATATTATTGTGACGTAGAGTTGATATTTATTAAAATATATGCCATAGTTAAAAATATCAGGAAAGAAACAAAAGGCAGAATTTACAAAAAATATTGACATATGCGGCAGAAACAAGACCTGGCACAGACAGGACAAAAAGGATCTTAGAAACAGCAGAGATGAAAACACTTAAAAAAGAAGAAGAAGAAGAAGATGTTGCAAATAAAATTTATTTAGTTATAACCTCAAGTAAACCTTTTTACGAATACTCAAATATTCCGACGACTGATATATGAGTTAAAATAGAAAACTAGATTAGGGAGATTTGAAAAAAACATAGTAAACACAGATTATAAAATCTGCGCTTACTATGTTTTTTTTTCTTCTTTATGACAAATATTAAACAATTATTTAAAGACGTTATAATATAGATTAACTCTATAAATAACATCATCGTCATATTTGGCTAGATTATCAATCCTTTGTGGATGCTGGCCTGCTCTGCCTAAAAGATTCGTCACCATTCTGTTCGGTTTCTTTAATATCTTTTTGACAGTTGAAAGTTTGTATATTTAAAGTCGGTCTAAACTTAATTTTACCAACTAATTCGCGGTCAATCTCTATTTCTTCTTGTCTCTTCTTCCTACAGGTATACTATGTTGGCAGTCTATCTTAGTCACACGAATTGAACCACATTTGATCGTTTATAGTCTTAAATAGTTAGCGGAGCATATTACGCTTGAATATTCCCAAAAGTTTTTCATGTGTATTTTTATTTTGTGTTGGGGTCCATGTTTCTACCTTATATGTGAGAATCGACGTCAGCAGTGATATAAAATTTCACTTTGGTTCTTTGGTTCTTAGTTCTTTTTTCCAGAGTATTATTGCTTTTGAAGTCCATAATACGCCCTATTTGAGAGATTTATTTGTTTTTTAATTTGTTTGCTTGTTTTGTTGCTTAAATACCTTTGAATATTGGCTAAAAATTGTTTCAAAATCTCCGTAATATGAGCCAGTTTATCAATTTCTCTTCTTTGAACGCTGTCTCTAATGTCTTCGAAAACTAGACACCTCAAAAGAAATCTGAAACATCTACACCACTTCCTTTTGTGTTTTCCCACATTTCGTGGGAGTTTTTTCGAGAAGATTTTAATACACCAATTATATAAAGAATCCCAATAAATGCCCTTATCTCTCTTTCGTCTGTGTTTCTTGCATCACGCTCTCGTTCAAATCGGTCTCGGATATTTTGGATATAAATATTACTATTATACAAGTAGTAATCGTTTGTGTAATAGACTCATCAACAATAAAACACTTAATACCTGATTTTGCATTTTTAGCGAGTCCCTTCGAACCAGGTAAATGGGTTACTAAGTTATGAGCTCTCGTTCTGACGTTAACATTAGATGTTTCTTTATTCGATTTTGTTTTTTTTGTCCTTTTCCTAAATTACTTATTTATTTGTTCAATGTCACTCTCATCATCTGTGACGTCATTTTACTCTTGTCCCAATACAAAATCATGATCCCTTCCATTTATATTTTCTTTTTCAGGATTGTACGTTTCATCTTCACTATCCACTGCCTCACTATCTGCACTTTCGAGTTCGTCATACTACTGCATCCAAACAGATGGATCCGTGAATATTTCAACACGCCTCCTCTTTTCTTGGGACATTATAGTCCTCAAAATTTTTCGCAAAAGACAGATTCGAATAGAAAGTCAAAAATTATAAATTAAAATAAAAAATACATACAATTTAGTAGAGATACTCGTTGAAAAATTTAAAACCAAAATTACTTTTGCTGTCTTTTGCAATGTTATTTTTTTGTAAAAAAAACCCAAAAAATTTTATGGTAATAGAGAAATCACCTGAACATAAAAATTACTTACGCGATTAGGCACACGGGCTACAATTGTAGCCCAGACGTAAAAATTTACTAATATTTTTGAAACGCACATGCGTATCTAACAAACTCTCAGCAAGTACTGATTATCGATGCCTAACCATGATACTATAACAAACATGTTTGTTATAGTATCATCATGCCTAACAGGCAGCTATACAAAGCAGAGATAATGCAATCAAAGATTGGCGCCAGCGGCAACAATTTAAAATGCTCTGGGCTACGTAAGTACGTAGGGTTAAGAACTCGTTTACACAATTGCTAGAATTATTTCTAAGAATATTATTTTATTGCATATATTTTTTATCTATCTATCTATATAAGGATTTTTACAGCTGTCGCCGCCTTCGTTCTAGCCAACGTCTCCAGTCCTTTCTGTTCTGCCATTCTCTATCTCTAAGGTCTCGTCTTTCCATGGCCTCGTCCACTTCATCCCTCCATGATCTTCGGGGTCTACCTCTTTTCCTCCTTCATATTGGGCTCCAATTTGAAATCTTTGCTATACACCTTGTATGATCTGTTCTTCTCACATGATCATACCAAATTAAACGTTTTCCTTCGATGTAGTATGTCTTGTTCTACTGCCATTCTTCGTTTTATCTCCTCATTTCTGATGCGATATATTTTTGTCACTTTGCAGCTTCTTCTCATGAACTACATTTCAGTTGCTGTTATTTTGTACCTGTTTCGTTTATTTATTACCTAATTCTCTACTCCATAGGTCATTATACTGCGTACCAAGGTGTTATAAATTCTCTTCTTTGTATATCTGGTAATCTGTCTATCCCACACTACCCCGCTCATTTGTTTAATACATGTTCTTGTCTGTGCTAATCTGCTGGTTATCTCTTGCTCGGTGGTTCCATTTTTTGAGAGTATGAATCCTAAATATTTGAATTTTTCAGTGCCGTTAATTTCCCTATTATCGTCCATTTCCAAGTTTCTCACTGGTTCTTGCTCTGTTGTTAAATATTCGGTCTTTTCTAGGTTTATCTCCAGTCCATTTTTTGTGTATTCCTTTTTTAATTTTCGGAGCACATAGCACAGATCTTCTTCATCTTGAGCCGTTACCACTTGGTCATCTGCAAAGTTTAATGTGTACAAGAAGTTGTCCGGATTGGTATTCCCATCACTTTACATTTCCTTTTTCATGGTTTTAATATTTGTTCGAGGAATACCTCGAACAGTGTCGTATATGTAGAGCATCTCTGAAATAAGCCTTTTGTGGTCTTAAATTTGTTGAAGTATTTATTGCCGGTTTTAACGCTTACCCTGTTATTGTTGTTAAGGTTTTTTACGGCTTCTATTAACCTTTGAGTTATTCCAATTTCCTTCATCGTGTTCCATAATTGTTTCCTGGGAACCCTTGCCTATTTTTAAATCTATGAATGCCATGTGTACTGGTCTATTTTTTGCCATTTTTTTTTAATTAATTATAATTTTTTTTTCAATTAATATATATTTTTTATTAGATATAATTTTAAGAGATCATGTTTAAACAATCAATTCCAATTTATAATTTGTAACAAATATCTACTCTGTTCTAGAATTTTAGGTGTAGAAAATATATTCCACGCCGAAGAAATGGAATCGGAAAATTCATTTTCAGCCAACGAAAGTTTATCTCAAGGCGAACCAACAGATCCAGGCCGACGGGGGCGAACAAGGAGATATTATCCACGTCGAGGTAAAGATTCGGTTAGATCTCGAGGTCCAAGAAGAAGTTTAAATTTTTTTATAAGCAGATCATGCAGTAGAGCAAATAAAGAACCAGGTGAATATCAGAAACTAAATATGGTATAAAAAATATATGTTTAACTGACTGAAATACTTATGCACAAACCCCAAAATCCAAAACATTTCAATTTATTTTTAATTGATATTTTATTCATCTAATTTAAAAATCCCAAAAACTTTTATAACTTTTTATGTTTAGATAGCATAATACTACTTTTTTTGTGTAGATTTGAGTTACTAAATTTACTAAGCAATTATTATTTAATTTTTATTAATATTTTACTACTATTAAAAACTTGAATTTCATCGTGGTACATGCAAAAGGGCGAATGGCAATAAAATACATTTTTTCTTTTTTGACATGTAAGTATCCAAAACACGCTTCTTCAACGTTTGCAAAAACTCCTATGTCTATCGACTCATCAAAAGCGAGCGTTTAAATTAGTTGCAATAAGACCAATATCAGAAGTCCCTAATTTGGTTACTGCAAATTGTCGTATGTCATTGTATTCCCGTGGCATGAGACGTATTTTGTTTTTTTTTTATTCAAGTATCATTATTGTGTTGTGTACCAAGTTGTGTAAGTATTTAACTCTGTTTTTAATATAATTGAACCTCACAAATAATCATTACAAATAATACTTTGTATTTGTAATGATAACTGTTAAATTTACAAAACAAAATAATAACCTCACTTTTCCAATGTTTTTCAAGTTCAAACTTTAATGATCATAGTTTTATGTTTTACAATAAGATAAAAGTTTAAATCACTTATCAATAGTAATATCCCTAGGACATTGATAACAGACGAGATAATTTCATGACAATCGAAAGCTCGTTCCTTGGTAACAGCACGAAGCCGAAGGCTGAGTTCGTTGCTGTTCTCTACTATAGAAGATCTATTACCACGCATAATATTTATAATCTTGTTGTGGTATTTATAAACGTGACATTTTGAAATTTATTTGGATGAAGTTGTCACACTCGATCGTGTTGTCATAGGGATTGAAAATTGCACTGAATGCAATTATCAGTCTAATGTTGACATGATTGGGTGAAATTGTTCCACATGACACAAAATGATGAAATTCGAATGGTTGTTAGAACAGTCGAAAAATTATCATAATAATTAATTAACTTTTTGAGAGAACCGGTCCTGAAATTTCAGGTAGACAAATTGAAATACTTTGAGCTCCACAACTTGAGCTATAGTTTTGGAGAAGAAACAGTGTAAATTTAAATAATAAACCGAAATATATAGAAGCAGTGTACAGTGGTCTGTTAATAGCTGTAAGTACAGTTTTCAAATTTGCTGTAGTTGGATTACAAACATTGTTTTTATACATACGAAGAACATTATTTATAATTCGTATTTATTAATTATTTAAAAAACTAGTTTCAACCCTTGGCATTATCTTGCTAATTTCTAGATCGACTGTTTACTTTTAAATAACCAGAGTCGGACCTACCTAATTTAAAATTATTGAAATGGAAGTTCAATTTAAATTTAAAAAAGATAGAAAATTAAATTTGACAAAATGGCAGGTAGTACTTCTGACTACAGGGGTCCATCAATTAATCCCAAACAGCAAAACATTACTTATTCTACCATCACTAAGCAACAACTCTTAACAAAATTTCCAACAAAAAACCAGGCCATAATTTTACAGGCAGTAGAAGAAATAAGAACAGAAGTGCACACCATTGCAGTAGAAAGTATAGTTCATCCAAAAAATGTACTGTTCTCATCCAAAATGTCAAACGGAAGAATATGCATCTACCTTTTAAACACACAAGTCGTAGATGATTTTCCAAGCCAACATGGTGTAATTAAAATTGTAGAACATACAATCAAAGCACGTAAACTAATTACACTCGCTAATCGATTAGTTTTATCCAACGTATGTCCATCTATATCTCAACACATAATCGAACAGTCTTTAATCAATCTTAGTTTTAAATTAATGTCTCCGATTTCGTTTCCTAAAGTTGGAATACAAGACCCGCAATACAGCCATGTACTTAGTTTTCGTAGACAAGGTACTTTGCACCTACAGACAATTTTACTGTACCCGACTCCGTCCTAATTGATTTTAAAAACATTTCGTACCCAATTTTTCTTTCCGATAAACTAATTTGTTACAAATGCCACCAAGTTGGTCACGTTTCCTCGGACTGTACCTCAAATTTCTCTTATCCACAAAATACTCAAAAGCCCCAAACGGAGGAAAATGTTCTTTCACAAATACCATACACTAGCCCCGAACAAAATGAAATTACATATGGAAATGACGAATCTCGAGAAAAAATGGATGCTCAAGTCAGCACTGATGCCGATAATAAAAATAATCGATCTTACTCGGACGTGTTATCCCCACCCGTCTGCATTCCTACATAAACTATACCAACAGAATTCACAAACCAAAACCAGTGCAAATAAAAAAAAAAGAAAAAAATTATCAAAATGGACAAATCCACTTCAGAAACTACTAATATTAAGTCGATATTATAACCAGTCAAACAATTTATCCAGGATGCATCACCACCATGTGTACTAAATTACATCCAATTACTACCATTCTTAGAAGACGTTCACGGTTTTTTCACCCCAGTAGAACTGGCCCTAGAATACACAAGGATATAATCGGGCTGGGACATATGCTAACTGAAATATATCCCATGTTGAACGAAAGATAAATTAAATCTAGAATTACAAGAATTAAGAAAAAACTACTTAGTCGAATAAACCAAGATTTTACTACTCAGGACGACACTTCTGACGATACTGACGCATCACAGTAAAAGTACTCCTGCCAACCGTAAATAAAAAAAAGCAAAAAAAATTTAACAATATGGCTATTATTTAGTGGAACATTCAATCCGTATTTACACATATAGAAATGCTACAGCTTTTAATTAAAGAAACACATCCACAAGTTATCTGCGTACAAGAGACAAATTTCACAACAAATAAAAAATACTTATTAAAACAATATGAGGCCTACCATTAAATTAGAACAAACGCTGGTAAAGGTAGTGGCCGCTTATCCATTTATGTTAATTCACATTTGGAATCAGAAGAAATCCCTACACAATCAGAATTAGAGGTTGTTGCAGTTAAAATAAAATATTTAACACAATAATCTATATGCAATGTATATATTTCATCAAATACCGAAATCATTGCCAAACAACTCGAAATGTTAATTGAACAAATTCCAAAACACAGAATAATAGTAGGAGACTTTATTGCAGACAGTACAACTTGGGGAGTTATATACAATCAAACAGAGGTAATGCTATAGAAAGATTTTTAAGCTTAACTGACTTTTTCTTGCTTAACTCAGGAGAAAAAGCTCGCTTTAACTCAATTATTGGTTAACATTCCTCTATCGATCTCTCGATATGCGAAAGCTCGCTAGCTCCAAATTCAAACTAAAAAGTACTACATCATACTTATGATAGCGATCACTGGCCTATAATAATAACCAACTACGCATTAGACAAAAATACTGAAATATCCTTTCCAGAAAAGTGGAAAATCAATAATGCTGATTGGGAAAGTTATCAAAATTTTATCAAAAACTCTATACCCCACTTAGGACCATTGAAAACTGATATTGAATTCATCATTTAAAAATTCACTACAATGATTATAAAAGCTGCAGAAGCAACTATAGGTAGAACAAGCAGGCTAAAACGTAAAAAGACAGTCCTATGGTGGAATGTTGAATGTCAAGATGCATTCAAACTTAGTAAACATGCATTCAACGTATTAAAAAAACACCATACAAAAGACAACTTAGTTAATTTTAAAAAACGGAGCTAAGGCGAGATATATAATCAAAAAGAATAAGCGTGAATCATCGAAACGATATGTATCCTCAATTACCGATCATACCCCCGCATCTGAAGTGTGGAACAAGATCCGCAGAATTAAAGGTATTACATATACTTACAAGATAAACTCTCTTAATACGAACGGAAATAAAATAACTGAGAAAGCACAAATTACACATGCCTTAGCAGTTTCGTTTCAAATATACAGCAATGTCTCTTTGTATGACCCTATATTTATTAAACATAAAATAAACTCAGAAGAAGAAATAATCATTACCAATAACAATCATCCACTGATCTCATCACTAAGTATAAATGAACTAAATAAAGCACTTCAGGACGTTAAAAATTCTAGCCCAGGACCTGACGAAATATCTTATGCATTCCTTAAAAATCTTCCAGCAAATGCTAAACAATACCTTCTGTCCTTTCAGAGTACTCCATTTACTCTGCTGAACTGTATGCTCTATACCAGGCTACCCTTGCTGTCAATGCATCCAATATTACCAATTATATCATACTCACAGACTCTCTAAGTTCAGTCCAGTCAATCCAATATGTCTACCCAACTAATCCTTTAGTCATCAAGATAAAAGAAGAAATCCACACCGCTCAACTGAATGGAAAAAATATTATATTATTTTGGATACCATCCCATATTGGAATTCCAGGAAATGAAGAGGCAGACAACGCTGCAAAAGAAGCTGCAAGAAGTGATAGTGCAGAATGTACTAAGACATTTACGAGTGCGGACGTGAAAGCAACGATTAAATTTAAAGTGCGATATATGTGGAATGAAAAGTGGAAAGTGTCATCGGCAAAGCTACGCGATGTAAAAAAATCGATTAAACCCTGGCCCACATTACCAACAAGTCGAAGAGACCAGGTAATATTAACGCGACTTCGACTGGGTCATACGCGACTAACGAATAGCTACGTGTTCTCTAACAAACAAGAACCAAGATGTGACAACTGTGACGAAAAAATAACAGTCAAACATATATTGGAAAAATGTCCAGCATTAACGCCAAAGCGCATATTGTACAGTATACCCAACAAACTAAGTGACATTTTAGGTTTACAGTGCAATATTTCAAATATAAAAAGTTTCTTAACCTCACTAAATATTTTAAATTCTATATAAACTAATATTATAAATGTAATACAAATTATTGTTCGCTAATAGCCAATTTGGCT